TTGATCCTCCTACTCTATGGTCTGTAGAGTCTACATGTAAGCAATGGACCAGAACCACAGTTTTAAAAAATCATTATAACACTCAAAAAGGTTTTTGTTCATTACATCATGAGTGGATGAGTTAAAAACACCTCTTGTTGTCTCATTGTTTAAAGTACTTGAATAAACTGGACTACCCCTCCTTTGATCGACTGAATCTGCTCAGTTTAAAAAAATGTGAAATCAACAAGAGGGCCGTGTTTTATAAGTTAATGAATTTGAGGGATTCAGTGAAGAATGTGACTCAGCTTTTTGTGCAAACACAGCCACACCTTATTTTTATAGCCTTTCATAACCTGTCAAATCCTTAATCATCACATGTGAAGCAGAGGGAGAAACTGACTTTCCGTGGACATTTTAATTTGCATGGTTTCTGACTAAATGAAGAGATTTTTAAAAAGTGTGTATAGTATTGCAATCAACAATTTCTAAAATGAATAATACAGTTTTTAAAGATAGAGAAGTTTCCCTTAGGGATTTTACATCTTTAAATATAACTGTAGCAACAATTTCAAGAAAAACAAATAAAAATCTAATTTGTCTCATAACAGTATCCTACCCATTCACCACAAATGTCTCTAGTATACAAGGGTAAAAATGAATGATTTGTAATAAGTTTGCAGAGTGGATCTGTCACAATTCAAAATAAATTTGAGAATAAAAAACAGAAATACTCACCGCCACCATTCTTGTAACACAAGTAAGGAAATCTCCACACATTTCCAAGTCCAATAATGGCACCAGCCACTGAGAGGATGAACTCTGTCTTGCTCTCCCACTTGCCACGCTCCTGTACTGTTTCTGAGGTCATCTCTGGAGGGAGAGAGCTCAGCCTGCACACAGAGAGTCTGTCACACAACTGAGGCACAGGTCGATGGTAATACCGACATAGAGCCTGGAATTTGTGCACGGCTATAATTGACGGATGTTGAGTTATTTTAACCACCAGGGGGACCTCTAGATGTGCAAAAATAATGTTGATGACAAGCAGTAAGGTGAGTGCTCAGTGTGACTAATTTGTATTTGGACATGGTATTGAGGACTCTGCTGCACAGCTCTCAGCTTCAGTTAAGGCATGAATGATTGATTGCATTAAATATAAAGCAACATTCAGAAGCAATTAAAATGCTTTATAAAGGCAGAGTTATACAATGAGGCTATAAAGGCTATAATACTACAGAAAAAACCTAACATGCCTCTATACTGTTTGTGTGGTGTCATCCAAGTGCCCATAAGCTCTGACATTCATATTCGACGAGAAACAAGGTCATTTACACCATGTTTTAAACCTAAATGTAGGGCTGGGGTTTAAAAATGACCCAATACCTATTTATTAAATGAAGGTAATGATCCTTTAATACATGCCTTTTTCACCCCAGTGTTTACATAAGAATGAAACCAACATTTTAGTAGAAAACTGCAGTAGAGTTGGAGAGAAAATCACAGATCGGACTTTAAACACAAGGGG